CAAATTTCTATCTGTCTCCTGAGTGAGCCGAAGGTTTTGTTCCATAAACAGCTAAAACATAAAGTGCTAAGACATAAGGGAAAACGGTGCTGACTTGGTGATTTCAGACTACTACACTCCAGACATGCTGGGGCTGAAGACGGACCAGGAGGTCCTGGGGGAGCTGGTGAAACTGAAGATCCCCCGGGTGTGGCAGGTGATGCAGGAACAGAACGTGATGTGGACTCTGGTGGTCTCTCGGTGGTTCATCTGTCTCTACATTGACGTCCTGCCCGTGGAGGTGAGCACATCTAGTTCAGGAGTCTCCGTCTGTTCTGTGTAGTTTCGGGGCAGGTTCGGCTTATTGTTTGCTCTCCAAATACACGTGGAATGTGCTTATATGGGTGGAAGTTCCCTGTTGTTCCCTCAAGGATTAAATCCAGACTCTGAACGCTGCAGCTGTCCAGGAACAACATTTTAGACCCCTCCCAGACGAGTCCACCAATAAGAATCAAAAGTTCAAGGATGTTTGCTTCATCTTCGCAGACGGTTCTGAGGATCTGGGACTGCCTTTTCTACGAGGGCTCAAAGATCCTGTTCCGTGTGGCTCTGACTCTGATCCACCACAACCAGGCGCTGATCGAAGAGGCCCAGTCCCTGCCGGACGTCTGCGACGCCTTCAAACGGATCGCTCACGGACCGTTTGTTGAGGAGTGCCACACTTTTATGCAGGTAGGAGTGTGGAAAAATGTGTAATCACCAGAGTTGTAAAGTAACTAAGTACAAATACTTCGTTACTGTACTTAAGCAAAATTTTTAGGTATCTGTACCAAGGTTATAATCAGTGTGCATTGCCAATGCAATGCACACTATTGTGATTCGTTTCCCATCCAAATCATCTCAAATTTGCCATGCTTCTCCTCCTGCATACTTTGTCCTAGAACTGCCATTGTAATTTATATCTGTAAAGCTCCTATGCCAAATGATGGCTATGCCTTTTGGTGCCTGTAAAACTTATAGTTTATGAAATATTAATGTTTAATGAATTATAATGGCAGTCAATGGAGCCTTGTATTGGTCCAATACTGCCCCATGCTGTACTCAACTTGGTACTCCATAGTTTAATATTTCAACTCAGTAGTTCAGTGTTTACAGTACTAATATGATTGTATTTTGATGTTTTGCTATAAAATTGTCTTAATACTGCTCTATTGTTGTAATATTATGCATTTTTGTGTCAATAATTGTATTGGCAATGTGGCCTCTTTCTGCACACATACAAACCAACCCCTGCCACCATCTTCTGCCACAGCTCCATTGGTCCAATGGTCTATGTCATGGACTTTCATGTGGGAGATCAGGGTTCAAAACCTGGCTAATGCAACTTTAAGAAAAAATCTCTTCAAATTTCATATTGTCACATAATTACCATAATTACAAACACCTGCTGATGTGACAGGCACAAGCTGGTATAGCAAACACATTTGAACTTGGTCAAAGTTCATTCTGCAAGTCCAATGCTGCAGGCAAAGCCATGCTGCAATGACATGCTACATGGCAATGCACACTTGTTTTTACATCGTAAAGACCCATGTCTAGTAGTTTTGGATTTTTCATTATAGTGTTTAGTTTAATTTTGTTTTGACTTTTTTCTTTTAATTCAGTTAGTTTTAGTTAGTTTGTAGAGTGGATTTGCTAGTTTTATTAGTTAATGTTGCTTTTTTAATGCTTAGTTTTAGTTTAGTTTAGTTTTTATTAGTTCTAGTATTAGTATTTTTATAGTTGGAACAAATATATTTGCTGAGGCATCCTCCCACTTGAGGTGTTCTTGTGAGTTCATTAACCAGCAGCTACTTAGTGAAAACAGTCCACTATAGCAACATCTTCCTAAAATAATCACGTAACTCAGTTTTGCCAACAAAGGACTCTGGCGATTATTTTAGGAAGGTAAGATAAGTTGTTTCCTGGCTGGGCTGTTGCTTGTTTTACTGTGAAAGCTTGTCAAGATACTCACAGTTAGTCACCTGAGAAGTATTCCACCTTTTTTATCACCTGTTTCCGCTATAAGACACCTGCTTTTATTTTTCTCACACTCATTCAAAAATAATCCCAAATTGAGCTGCTTTCTCCCAATTTTTGTTGTCATTTTGCAGGCGAGCCCTGAGCAGCAGCAAATTGTAAACAAATGACGGGCCATGAGGTGATATAAGAAGCTAACGTGAAACTGCTAGGTTTGAAGAAAAAAGAAAAGATTTTTTTAATCAGTTCACACAGCTTAAAATAAATTGACAAACACAAAAAGTAAGGATATTCTATCTAAAATTTCAGTTAGTTTTGTAAAAAGATTATACAGTTTCAGTTAACCTTTTTTAATTTTATTAGTTTTTGTTGATTTCAGTTAGTGTTTTTTTTCAATTTCAGTTTTCGTTAGTTTTAGTGAAATATAATATCGCTGATCTGTACTTTACTTGAGTAATTATTTTTCAGCCTACGTTTTACTTCTATTTCTTACATTTTCACACAATTATCTGTACTTTCTACTCGTTACATTTTTAAAAAGACAAGAAGTAGAAAGTTGTTACTTTTATTTTTGCTTGTTTTCATTCCAGCTTGTTATTGTAAAAATAAATACTACCCAAATAAACTGAGCCTCCTAGATAGTGAATTTAATTGAGGTTGAATGAGAAGTATAAATATATAAAATTCTTGATACCGTATTAGTTTGTACACAAACAAATCATGTCACACTCCAGCAGGACATAACCATTAAATAAAAGGACAGTACTTAAGAAGTATTTGAATTTCATGAATTATATTATTACATTTGGCCGCAGCCCTCAGATTTTCATTTTGGGGAAAAGTTTTGTGCAGCCTTGATATATGTATATAAACTGAAACAGCTGGACTAGTGCATCCTAAATTTATAAATAAATTAATTATTTTAATACAACAGTCATTTCTGGATTGTTTTTGGGAGGTCACCTAATAATTGTCCTTACAGAAAATCTAACTGCTCATTTTAAATCAATTTTACTTTTAATACTTAAGTACAAAAATATCAGATACTTTAAGACTTTTACTCAAGTAATATTCCTAAAGGAGACTTTAACTTTTACCAAAGTAATTTTTTGGTAAGATACTTGTACTTTTACTCAAGTATGACTTTGTGGTATTTTATACAACACTGGTAATCACACAGGAGGGGTTCTTGCTTTAATCTGATAATCCTGGTGTTTTGTTTTCTTTTTGCAGAAAATCTTCACGGAACCAGGAAGTCTCTCCAAGGCGACGCTGACGAAGCTCCGAGTGACGTGTCGGGCTCGGATCACAGCAGAAACATCCTGAACCGGACTGCAGGTCACGCTCCGACGTGAAAACACATTCCAGCCAGGGAAGCTCGTTTGCACTTTTTCTTATTTTCACCTGAGTCGCTGTAATTTACGACACACTGTCTTAAAGCCACCGCTGAGACAACCCTGTAATAATCTGACCTTATGATGTGATGATTCCAGAAATGAAGTGGAAATTTCCAGTAGAAATGTAGATTTGTGCACTTTAACTCTTTGTTGTAAATGATCTGCTAAGAAGAACTGAATGTTGAGCACAACCAAGAAGAAAATATCTGTATTWTTGTCTTAAGAATATTACGTAAAAGTTGTTTTTTGTGGACTGAAATGAAGATTAATGATACTGCTGCAGCTTCTTGGTACTATTTCACTGTAAATATGTATTTTGTCGTAGAAAAAGTTTATTTTTGGGAACATTTCCAGGTACTCGGCTGYGTTTAGGTTTCTTTGTGCAGATTTTTAAAAACACTGGTGAAGAAATATAAGCAGACTTGAAAACTGTTCCTGTTTTGTTTTTTGTTTTATCTGTAGAGAAAACATTTTGTACATTAATCACAACAAAGGCTGGATTTTTAACATTTTTATTAACTCTCATTAAGTTGCATAAAAAGAAAACAGATCCACCATTTTCAATAAAAATAAGATCGAATCACTAAAATTAATTCATTAAAGAGGAAACTTAATTTTTCTGTCCACATGCACCCAGACTGTTTATTTTGGGGAATTTTAAGAAAAGTAGTTTATTTTCCATTTTAAGATAGAAACCGATTGGAGGAAAGGTACTGAGTTAACTTTTTGTCCAGAATTGAAACTAAAATGATTTTTTTTGGGTGCCGCTATGTTGAACTTTTAGCGCCAGATTCTTTGGACAAGAGAGGTGGGTTTGTACCCTCAATACCAAAATACAGCGGGTCTTTAAAGTGTAACTAACCCCGCCCACAGGCAAATTTGAAAAAATGCCAACAAAGTGGGCGGAGCCAAGAGAGAGGAGCTTGGCTAAGTGTGTATGGCATGACGGCTAGCTTGATTTTAACAAGCTAACATTTCTGAAAACGTTTGTGTGTAAAGAAAGTATCACAAACTTGATTTTAAATATTCTGCTGTGAGTGTTGAATAATCCAGTACAGGTYTGATGTGTTTAAGTTTTTAATTAGTTAAACTAGAGCAGATTAAAGATGCTCCAGTTAGTGAAAAATGAGGTGGATTTGCAGTAATGAACTGCAGTAGCCACCGTTCAACCCATAGAGGGCAGCACCGAGACTGTTTTGTTCATTAATTCACAAGCAACTGCCAAAATTTGCACAAAAATATGAAAATAAATACCCTTAAGGCACAGTTAAAGTTTATCTGAAAGAAAAAGAGCTGATTATGGGTTTAGTTACACTTTAACTTTGGTATGAAAATATGGGACTGTGTGTTTGTAAATGTCAGACAGAGTGATTCTGCTTCTAGATTTTTTGGTTGGCAAGTTGAAAAAGACAAAATATATACAAATATCAGGAAGAGTGGTCAGCCATACTTTAAGTCATCTTAATATACAGCTCATCGTCTGGTTTGGAGTCACTATTGAGAAAATAACTTTGCTATTTCAGCCTTTTCATCCAAACTTTACATCTAACTGACTCAGTACAGGCTTTCAGTGCTTCTCTTTATTTTACACTCAGAAATGGGGAGAAATTTTTAACCAAGCTGAAAAATAAAATCTCGAGTTCTGTGCAGGTTTTGGACACGTTCAGAGGTTTCCCTTTTCATAGAGGACAATCATGAAAAACACCTTCAGACAAGAAAACTCAGCATAACTTGAAATATTTTTTGGAAACGTTAAAAGCGTCTTTAATTGCCCTGATATTTGCACTAAAAACAGGAAGCAGAGGCTGAAGCTAATTTTGTTTAGAACTAAAAAAAAAGATTGCGCCAATCAGGTCAGGAGGCTCTTTTGCTTTTTTATCGTCCACAGATGAAGTGAAAACGGTCAAATATCCAGAGGTGGCTCATCGCAGAGAGCTGCTTCAGGTTTGTCCTCCATGTTTTTAATTTTAGTTTCTCTACCCGTCAGTCTGTTCTGACCCGCTCAGATGGTCTGGTACCCGGCGTGGCTCCTTTTCCGGCCGATGAGATAGGCGATGAGGACGATCAGCACCAGGCCAGCGAGAGCCGCTCCGATGATGATTGGGATCAGCATCTGGTCCTGGTCCACCTGGCATTCCTCCGCTGCACCGGACCAGAAAGGAAAAAACAAACACTGAACTCGGATCTGAAAGTCTCCGTACGTCTGTTTATTGTGTGAAAGCTGCTGATGAGTCATGTTTCTGCTCACAACTCGTTATACAGTTTTTGTGCTTTTTCAACAATTCATATGTCGACACGTTCAGCTGATTTATACCGTTGGTGCTATAAAGTTATACTTAAATAACTTAAATCAGTATCTGTAACAACTCATTAAACCAGGATAATTTTAAAAGATGAATTAAGTAGGTCCTCTGGACGTGTTCTTTAATGAAACTTTTCATTAAAGAAGAACCCATCCAGAGGACCTACATCATTTTTTTTCTTGATTTTTCTACCTGGATTACTGAGATGCATCAGGACAGAACAATTTGAGTTACAACAACATACGAGTTAYAATCCTTTTGGGCTTAATAAAGTATTTTTAAATTGAATTACACTTTTTTATACTCTATTTTTTTCTCATTGAAAACGAATGGAGCCGTCTTTAAAATCAATGATGAGATATTGGGCCTCATGCAAGAACATGTTCGTATTCTTATCCAAAATTTCTCTTACTTTTGTTCGTACAAAGAGCTCGTACAAACATGCCACGTCAGATTCAACAAACTTTTTTATCTTCAAGAAAAATGAGCTGCGTAGACTGATGAATGCATATCCAGCTGCTCCTGCACGAGGAGAGGAGATTAGCATAATTACCACCCCAAAAACACCATATAAGGCTATGTTTCCTTCCCCACATTCCAGGAAGTGTTCATTCATAAATGACATCGCAAAGTAAAAAAGAAGAACTTTACGAATTTGGAGATTGAAGTTCTGCTCTCAGAGATCCAGAAAAAAAAATCTGTCATCTTTAGCAGCATCAGCTGTGGAATTAAAGGAATGAAATGACTGTTGTTAATGTGTCTCCTGTGGGTCGTTTACAGTCAGAAATAAAAATCTAAATCAAATTCATCTCTCTCTAGTCCTGCTCCGGTTTTCCTTTGGTCAAATATTTTTTATCTAAGTATAAACAACTGTGTTACACAGTTTTCATTCGCTCGCCGCTGCAAATCTGTTCATACGAACGGTTCTTTCATGAGGCTCATTGGGCCTCATGAAAGAACCGTTCGTACGCACAGATTTGTTCTTAAGTTGTGCGTACGAGTGATTTAGGAGAATTTGTGGCATTCACCAATGTTTTCGTATTCTAAGAWTTTTTTCAGATACGAACAAAATTCACGAGTGGTCCAGACCTGTCGTATATTTTACCAGCAGTCAGTCTGCTGTTATCCAGACGGGTTTTCTTCACTAATAACTTTATATTTCGTTATTTAGAAAATATTTCAAGTTGAAAATATATCACACTATAATTATGTTGACAGTAGGCTATTTTGTTTGAAATGGAATTAGATTTTAACAACATAAATTGATTAGATTAAGTTCAATTGTCTTTTAATGCTGTTGTATAACACTAYAATATTAATATGAAGATGACAAACTAAAAAACAACATAAATTATGCATTAATTGATGTTTGGAGACATTTTAAAATGCCTCTTTTCAGAACCGCATCTGTCACTTGCGACCGCAGGGAGGGGGAGATGGCCGGGTAGCGATGCGCAACCACCCTTCTTCTGAATAAATGTAAACACAGTTGTTTACACTTAAATTAAAAATATTTGACCAAAGAAAAACCGGAGCTGGACTAGAGAGAGATGAATATGATTTATATTTTTATTTCTATGACTGTAACGACCCACAGGAGACACGACATTAACAGCACATTTCATTCCTTTAAGCAGCTCCTTTAATTCCACAGCTGACGCTGCTAACGAGAACAGATTTTCTTTTCTCGATCTCGGAGAGCAGAACTACAATCTCCGAACTCATAAAGTTCTTCTTTTTTACTTTACGATGTCGTTTATGAATGGACACTTCCTGATATCTGAGGCAGGAAACATAGCCTTATATGGTGTTTTTGGGGTGGTAATTATGCTAATCTCCTCTCGCGTGCACGAGCAGCTGGATACGAACAGGTGGAATTTACGCAGCTCATTTACACACTTTTCCTGAAGATAGAAGAGTTTGTTGAATCTGACGTGACATGTTCGTACGAACCCTTTGTACGAACAAAAGTAAGAGAAATTTAGGATAAGAATACGAACATGTTTCTAAATCTTTGCAGGACTCTTCACCTTTTTGTTCTACTTCTGTGTTTTTTCTACTTCTTTGTGTTGATTTGATATTTTAACTGATCTTTCTGCTCTTTTCAGCTCTTCTGTAATTCCAGTTGTTTTTTGCCCTTTTTGGCTACGTTGTAGCTCATTTTAGCTAATTTGACCTTTTTCATTTAAATTTATCTTTTTGTGATAATTTCAGCTACTTCCAGCTTATTTCAACAAAATAAGTGCTTTTTCTGTCTGTGCTAATTTTTCAGCTTGAGTTAATTTTAGCAATTTTTTTTTGCAAATTTGAACTTCATGCTTCTTAGCTGATTTCTGCTAATTTTAGCTGTTTTTTTCCTTTTTAGCTACTTTGTAGCTAATTGAAGCTAATTGTACCTTTATCATTTAAATTTATATTTATGTGATAATTTCAGCCTGTGTCTGGGCTAATCAGCTTTTTAAAGTACTTTTTAGCTGCTTTCTGCTAATTTAAGCATTTTATGCTTCTTAGCTGATTTCTGCTGTTCTTTTTGCCCTTTAAGCTACTTTGCAGCTAATGTCAGCTCATTTTAACATTTTTATATCTAAATCCACCAAACCTTACTGTTTAATTCAACAAACACACGCTCTGTCTGTGCTAATTTCAGCTGTTTTAGTTAGTTTTTAGATATTTTTCTGCAAATTTAGGCTGATTAGCTGTTTTACAACAAATGGCAACTTTTTTGTTCTTTTCTTGATTTTTTGCCGTTTTTTCCTCTCAGTTCACATCTTTCTGCTCATTTCAACTTGTTTCTGCTCCGGTCTACTTTTGTTTTCCTGCTTCCAGCTGTTCAGATTTACCTCTCGTTGACGGTTCTGCTGTTTCTTCCAGCATCAAACATTCAACAACATCTGTGCAGGAAACGTAAACTCTCTAGTTTTAATGTTATAAATGAAGCGTACCCGTGGCAAACTGCTTGCTGCTGACTCCGAACGGCTGCACCTGCAGCCTGAAGGTGTTGAGGGAGAAGCTCRGCGCCACCTGCAGGCTCTGCTCAGCGTTGCACATGTAGGAGTGGCCCAGCGCGCTCTGCAGGAAGTCCAGGCTGCTGTTGCTGGCTGAGAAGGGAGCTGAGGAGAGAGGCAGAGGAAGATCAGAACCGCTTCATCCTCAGAACCGCCGGGGAAGGGAGGGCCACTCACCCGCCGCGTCGGACCAGTTGGCCTGCAGGTCCATCCCGCTCAGCCGGTACCTGCTGGACGTGGTGTTCTGTGGGTGGAGGGTACGGTTAGCGACACGCAACGTTTCTATCGAGGAAGGCAGAAATTGCAGGTTACCATGGTGAAGGTGAAGCTGAGCGTCMAGGTTTGGTCCTGAGTCAGGACCAGTGTGGCTCTGCTGGACCCGCACGATCCCGATGGACTCGTCAGGTTGGGATTCAGATTGAATAATTCCTGGACGGTCTGGGAGAGACGAGAACCAGGTGTTACATCATATATTGTGACCAGAGGGGGGCGCTGTTGCATTTCTGCAACAGAACTTGGACGAACACAGTGCATTTGATGCACCAAAAGTGTAAAGAGGCTGAAGACACATAAACAGGAAGCTACAGGGAGGTCACAATATGACAAGCTGTCGTATTGTGACCACGTATAACAGTCAACAGGTTGTTGTTTTCGTGTATCTTCAGCCTCTTTACATTTTTGGTCTCATATTCTTTATGTTCGGCCAAGTTCTGTTGTAGGAACGCAACAGCGCCCCCTCTGGTCATAATATATGACGGTCACAATATAAAGTGTAACACGGGTTATTTATTTGGAGCTGGGGGCGCCGAGCTGTGAGCACTTCCTGTTCTGAGTCACCTTGTTCTGAGACTGAGACACGTAGGAGACGTTGAGCTGCAGACCCATCTGGGCCAGCAGGCATTCGGTTCCGTTGCTGTTCTTCACGGAGTACGTGCCTCGTTCGGGTTTTCCCGGCGGGGTCGGAGCGGGAGCTGCCGTGGTTGTGGTCRTGGCGGTGGTGGGAGCAGCGGGCGTGGTGGCTTGATCTGCGGCGCAGACGTGTTCTGTGGGAGACAGGATCAGCTTGAAGCAGGAGGGAGAGGAAACTGTTAAAACTCGAAGAAGCGAGTCATACCTGCTGGACTCAGGTCGTCCCCGTGCATGAAGGCCTCCAGCCTCACGCCGGAGAATGTGACGAGGTCGTCCTCGAGTCTGACGGTGGCGGGACTCAGGCAGCGGTACGTGGTGTTGACGGGCGCCCAGATCTGAACGGAGTCGTTCGTCACGGTGTGCACTCCTGAGCACAAACACAATAAATGATTGAACATTTTAGAAAACACCACGTTTGTTTAATATTTAACTTCGGTCACCAGAGAGGCTGGCATCGGGGAAGAGCGAGGCGTCGCTCAGGTTGAACATCAGAACCAGCGCCGTCACGCCGTAAACGCTCCCGTTACTGGAGAAGTTCAGGCCGAGCCCGTGGCCCRCTCCGAACAGCGCCACCAGCTGAGACGAGCTGCCGCCGGCGCCGCACGAGCTGCTGGAYGCGTCCACCCGGGTGGAGTCGGGCAGAGGGACAGAGACCGTCCTCTGAGGGGGAGACAGGGAAGAGTTTACAGGTGAGACGATCCGAGGACGTGTCGGAGGACGGGCTGTGAACTCACCGAGCCGTTGGACGTGGCGTAGGTGACGGACAGAGACGCAGACAGCTCCGCTTTGATGCAGGTGGAGTTTCCCTCCTTCACCTCCAGCGTCACGGACTGAAGACCACCTGTGGACGAGGACAGAGGGGACATCATGAGACGAGACGCTCCGAGAAAACTTTCAGTTTTTATACTCGACAGACAAAAAAAATTAATAAATAAAATTAACTGAAGAAACTGAGTTTTTAAAGCTAAAAGACAGAACATTAGCTAAACGGATATAAGGATCAAGATGCTACCTTAAAGTTAAAACAGGTAAAACACTAGCTAAAATTTATAGGACAAAGTTATAGCTAAAAGTGCAGAACACTAGCTAAAGCTTATAAGAAAAAATTATAGCTAAAAAGGTGCAAAAGACTAGCTGAAAGCTAATAAGTAGCAGATCTGTAACTAAATCTAAATGTAGCAACTGGTAGCTAAAAGCCACAAGCAGCAGAATGGTAGCTATATGCTAAAATTGCTAGCTAAAAGACTAAAGGAGCCATTTGCTAACTGAAAATTAAAATTATTAAAACACTAGTGAAAAGAAGCAAAAGACTAGCTAAAGATTATAGGAAAAAATTATAGCTAAAAGTGCAGAAGACTACCTAAATGGCTAAAAGGATCAAGATGCTACCTTAAAGTTAAAATAGGTAAAACACTAGCTAAAATTTATAGGAGAAAGTTATAGCTAAAAGTGCAGAAGACTAGCTAAAAGCTAATAAGTAGCAAATCTGTAACTAAATCTAAATGTAGTAAACTGGTAGCTAAAAGCCACAAGTAGCAGAATGGTAGCTATAAGCTAAAATTGATAGCTACAAGTGTAGAACACTAGCTAAAATCTAAAAGGAACACATTTTCGTTAAAGTAGCAAAATAGTAGCTAAAGCTAATAGAGAAAAAAATAGTTAAAAGTAAAGAACCCTAGCTTAAAAGAAAAAAATAGCAAATATGTAGCTAAATCTGAATGAAGCACACTGGTAGCTAAAGGACACAAGTAGCTAAAATTGAAAAACTTTAGCTACAAGGCTAAAGGAACAATATGCTAACTGAAAGTTAAAATGAACAAACCACTAAGCTTAAAGGAGAAAAATATAGCTAAAAATGTGGAACATTAGCTAAAAGCTAAAAGTAGCAAACTAGTGGCTAAAACCTAAAAGCAGGCAAAAGTAGGAAAGCATAAAAAAGTCATAGCAACAATCTCCTGAATGAGTTGATTTTATTTATACAT